GGGGCAGTAAAATGCTAACATAGAAACACTGCTGCCACCCATACATCATCTTGGTAGGGCCTTCTCGGTAGTGGCACCCACCCTGTAGAATGCCCTCTCATCAGATGTCAAGGAGATAAGTAACTATACAACCTTTAGGAGACATCTGAAGACAGGGAAGTCTTTTAATGTGTAATGTTTTATTATGTTGTTATGTATGTTGGAAGCTGCCCAGAGTTAGATGGGCAAGGTACTACTACTACTACTACTACTATTATTAACTCCCTACAATGTGCAGTGTGAACCTGTGTGAGATGCATGAATCTCAGATTAATGAGATGTAACATTTATCAAGTGCCCACAACAGTAGCTGTACATAGAACATTGTAAGTAGAAGCTTTTACAATCGAAGGTCAATGCTGTCAGCTTTCACAGAGCTGATTATTTGTTTTGGGAGGGAACCAAATCCAAGCCACAAGAAAAAGTGGGTTGGGATTCAACCCTGGCCCCCAAATTGGTCACCAGCATTGTCAGAACTGATCTCACCTATCAGGGGGTTAGAACTAAGGCACATTCAGAGCATTGTCACACATTTGAGCAGGACCAGTCCAGGATTTGGCTTTCTGTTTCAGTCGAGAGATCTTTTCATGCCACGTTAGGTAGGAGCCGTTTCATAAATAAGTGCATGCCCGCGCGCACACACTTTGAGAAACAGCTTCTGATGTGAAACAGGAGAGCTAATGATTAAAAAGAGAAAGTGCAAAGCCCCACTGTATCTTCCTGCTCATCTTTCTGGAACGCAGGCTGAGATTGTGTAGATGATGTAAGGAGATGAGAAGGAGAGACTGCATGAATGCAAGAAAGGCATCCCTGGTAGCCAAAGTGCTCAACATAAGCATGGGACATTAATCAAATGCGCTCATAAAATTAGCGGAGAGTGGGGGTAGTCGAAGATCAGATTGCAGTCTTCTGTTTTCTAGTAACGTGATGGAAACCTGAAAACATATGAAACTGTATATGGAGTGATAAATTCTATAGTCTGAAGTGATGGGGTTGTGATGGGGGGACTAGTTAAAACTAGTTTTTTTGACAGATTAGTCACAGATACAAAGTCACATAATATGGTAACTGTAGAATTTACCAAAAAGAGAGAGAGTACACTTCGAAATGAGTAGTTTGCCATAAATTCTTCTGTGAATCATTTCCTACTGTTTGTATGTATGCCTGGGAGAAGCACATTAGCAGTACATGGTAAGTACTTAAACTATCCCTATTTACTATGAATAGGACTTCAGTCTTCATATCACTGTGCTGATGGATATGACTAATAATAATAATTATTATTATTATTATTTCTACCCCGCCCATCTTGTGTTGATTGACAAGAAATGTGTTGATTGTGAACTGTAACATTAGTTGCCGTCTATTTATTATGAAATAGACGGAGGCCAATAGATGGTATCATGTGGGTCAACAACCAAGACCAGCTTTAAGCTGTTACTGACCTGGCTTGTAGAATAAATGCTGACCTACAGTGAAAGGTATCCTCTATTCCTTTACCAGTTGTTTATAACCAACATTTTATGAAAGAGTCATAAATTAATTAAGGCAACTTCCCTGTCCTTTGCAGCATGCAGAAAATCATAATCCACAGAACATCCGAAAGGCAAATCCTGAATGCATTTCCCCCGGAATATTCCTAAATTGTAAAACACTGCAGCATTTCATATGCCTTTTATGCCGGCATATTTCAGGTTATGGATATTTTACTGTCTTAAAATCCAAAGAGTTACAAGGCGTGGTTTTCCGAACATTTTTCTGTGCCTTTGTGTGCAAAGTTCAGAAGTCTGATTGAAGTTGTATCCTGATAATGCTCTCGTCTAGATGTTGTGTTTTTACAATTGCTGCTAAGTAACTGGCCCTGGGTTAATCTTGCCAACTACACTGGTACATTGGTTTTCAGTGGAAGCTTTTGTGTTTCTGAAGAAGGCAGAATGGGCCTCTGTGATGTGTTAGCTTTACGGCGACAGCCGTAGCTGCTGGTGGTGGTAGAGTGTCTCAGTGCGTGTGTCGCCTGAATCCTGGCTGAAGAACAGCTCTTCATCTGCCAGGCACCTTCCTATCTATGCCAAAAGCCCAAGCTCTTGTCTCTCCTCGCGACAGTCTGATGCGGTGCGGGGGGGGGCGGGGGGTGGAATTGAAGGCTTCCAGACAGCACCGTAATGCTGGGGAATAACAGACTTGTTTGTTTGTGGCGAAGCAACAGGTGCTATCTGTGGGTGTCCTACTTTAGCCATATATTACTCTGATTTAATTTGGGAGGTAGACAGCGGTGCCCTCGTCTCACCCTGCTGGTACAGAGGGTGAGATTGTGCTTTCTTCCCTCTTCCACCCATGCCACAAGTGTAATTCCTGCCTCTCCACAGTAAAAAAGGCAAGTCTGAGCCATACATGTGCATTTGTGAGAGCTCAGAGATATCATGGATCATCCATCTGAGGACCTTCTGTGACACATGCACAGACATCATAGTCAGAATGCCCAAGGAAATAATAGGGCTTTTCTTTCTTTCTTTCTTTCTTTCTTTTGCACTATTTGGGGTGGGTAAGAAAAACTTTCAAACAAAAAAAAAAGTGCTTTAGATTGGTTATTTTTTATAAATATCCAAGGTAGATAAGGCAAGCTTGGAAGGCAATTATATTAACAAGTAAGTTACATTTCTTGCAACAGAATATTGGGGAGAAGTCTGGGATATGCCTTAACCACCAATACCATCCACCATTGTGGCTGCTGACAATGCAGGGAGTCTTAAGGTAAGCAGGAAAAATTGTTTTAGCCAGGCAAATCTCAAACCAGAGTCCCTTCAAGGTAACCCTCACCCAGACTTCAGTTTGCTCACCTCTCTCAGAGTTTCTGTTTAACTTGCATTCAAGTAAGAGCTCAGCAACTCTGAGGCCATTACAACCCATCGGCGGTTCGAATCCCCGTGACGGGGTGAGCTCCCGTTGCTCAGTCCCTGCTCCTGCCAACCTAGCAGTTTGAAAGCACATCAAAGTGCAAGTAGATAAATAGGTACCGCTCCGGCGGGAAGGTAAATTGCGTTTCCGTGCGCTGCTCTGGTTCACCAGAAGCGGCTTAGTCATGCTGGCCACATGACCCAGAAGCTGTACGCCGGCTCCCTCGGCCAGTAAAGCAAGATGAGCGCCGCAACCCCAGAGTCGGTCATGACTGGACCTAATGGTCAGGGGTCCCTTTACTTTTACTTTATGAGGCAGTTTGTATGACTATCTCAACCCAACAGGAGGGATGTTGGGCCTAAATATTAAAAAAGAGATTATGGTGAACTGCTGATGGTGCCCATTGGGACTGGTAGGGCAGAAGGCAGGGAGCCCGACAACAGGGGGTGCCAGAACCAATGACAGACAGAGCCAACCATTGACAGTTATGTCCCCATCCTCCTCTGTGCTGATTCCTGCAAACCTGAGGCTGTGTGCACACCATACCTTTAAAGCTCATTCAATGAATTCTGGGCACTGCAGTTTGTTAAGGGCTGTTAGGAATTGTAACTTTGTGAGGGATGAACTACAGGGCCCAGAATTCTTTGAGGGAAAGATCGTGCTTTGAATGTGCTTTACAGGTATAGTGTGTATGCAGATTAAGACGGAGGAAGCGAACAGGCAGTGCCACCCCTGGGACTGGTTGTCAGATAGCAGGAGTTGGGGGCTGGTTAAGGTTGGTGGGGTGTGCCCCATATGCCCCAATGAAACAACCACCACTGGGGTTAAATTCCAACTTCCATTACCAGCAGGGAGCATGGCTTAATGGAAGGTGTTCTCCAACTACATCTGCAGAGTCACAGGTTTCTGATCTCTACCCTAGATCTAAAGTTAAATCCCAGGACCTGGATAACTGAGTGATGAAAAGCTGTTCTGAAAAAAGGTTTATAATGGTGTTTTAATTGCTGCATTTTTATCTGCTCTTATTTTATTGCATTGTTATGATGTAGATCTGGGGTCAGCAAACTTTTTCAGCAGGGGGCCAGTCCACAGTCCCTCAGACCTTGTGGGGGGGCCAGACTATATTGGGGGGGGAATGAACGAATTCCTACGCCCCACAAATAACCCAGAGATGCATTTTAAATAAAAACACACATTCTACTCATGTAAAAACACGCTGATTCTTGGACCGTCTGTGGGCTGGATTTAGAAGGCGATTGGGCCGGATCCAGCCCCCAGGCCTTAGTTTGCCTACCCATGTTGTAGATGCTCTAGCCATCCCCATCCCCCTGGAACTGGAAACGATGAAGGTAGGAAAAAAGGTTTTTAATAAAACACTTCATACTGTCCCCCTTGCACTCTATCCTTCTTACACACACACACACACACACACCCTCAGTAGACCCAGGGCCATAGTTTGCAAGGCCTGGCAGATTTCATCTCCCCTTGACAGGGCCTATCAGCCCAGAACTTCACATATGTGAATTTCGATTGCATTTAGAAAATGTTTTAAAACTTGCCATTAGCGGGCTATTCTTGTTTCACCATTAAATCACTCTGCCAGGATTTGACAAATTAGTTTTCAAATAGGTTCTCTCAAAATAAACTGACCTCACCTTCCCTACAATCCTGCTAGCTGAGTGCTCTTGGGTGACTTAGGAGAAATATAGCAGGACCACCCAGTTTTTTTCTCTTTGCCTGGAACTGAGAATGTACATTCAGTTAACTGTTTGGCTTGCGATGGTGTTCAGCAATAAAAATTTTCCTGCCAGGCACGGGCTCACCATCATATTGTTTAACAACCCCAGCTGTCAAATTTTAGCATATGTACCAGAGAGGTGGATACTGTTCTAGGTGTGAGGTCCTGACATAGAGCAATTTCTGGCTACCCACGGGAGTGGTATAAGTGTGTCTTATATTGCTTTGCTATGGCAATGGAAAGTAAGAATATGTACAGGTAGAAGTCAGGCTTTGTATGAAGAAAGTGATAGATTTCTACTGCAGTGGGACCAGAGAGGCAAACAGCATTGTAGATGGTCTTCTTCTTTATTATTTATGGGCATTTATACACTGCTAATACAAAAGTTTAAAAGTGGCCTGCAACATGTTAAAAAATGAAGTGAAATATACATTCAAGACAACATGCCAGGCTGGCACTAGCTCTTATCTTTTTGTCCCCTACTGAAGACCTTCCATTTTCAGACAGCCATTCATAGTGAAGATTTTTTTTATCCCAGTCTGCATCTGTACTGGACTTGAAATTGTTTTGATATACATTTTTATTGTTGATGTTTTTATTGTTAAATCACCTTGGGGTGCGATTCACGAAAGAAATAAAACAGAACATGCATCAGCTGTGACTTTGGCATTGTGTGCAAGTGCAGCACATGGGGAAAGCATCTTTGAATAGCAACTGCGTTCAGGCTGCTGTATCATCGGTTTTCTTTTTCTTGGGGATTTTAGCTCTCTCTTTTTTTTTCTTCCCTACCTCAGCACAAATGTTCTTGGGAGCAGAATCTAGATGCAAAACGGTGCATCCTTTGTGCTGATGAGATGTCCATTTCAGTTTATTCATGTGGGAGCAAATTAGGACAAAAATTCTGCTGCCATTGCAGATACATGAGCCATTTATAAAACTGAGCTGGAAGTTCCTGGAATACTGCTGCAAGAAGAGGTGGGCAAACTGTAATTAAGAAGAGATTCACTTGACTAAGTTTGCCTGCTTCATCCCTTTGTTTACATAAATGTGGGGTGATAAAATAACAGGCACCATCCACCTGGAATTCCTCCTCCGCCATTACAAGCACATGTCACTTCCACAAACTAGGTATCCTTGGCGCACTAATAACCTCATCTCATGATTTATGGGTTGTTGTTTTTAAGGCTTCATTTCTTTTAGTTTCCATTTAAAATGTGGTCACATTTAAATCTGAATGTTTATATTAATAAACTTGAAAGATATCCATCTGTCTTTATTTTCATTGTTTTCAAGCCTCTTTTCTGATGCTCAGGAAGCCTGGCTCATCATACCTGAGTGATTGGATTCAGCAAAGTACATCTTAGTGAGAGGTGAGCCTTATCCTGGCAGGTCTCCAGAGTGTAGTAGGGCTGTTGCGGGAAAGAAAAACAAGAGAGCAGACCTCAGAGAAAGTAAAACTCAGCACAAATATTAGGCAGAATAGGCCAAATGAGGGGTTGACATTGTTTTAATCCAGTGCCTTTTTACAAAAGCTACCTTGACCCCAAAAAATGAAAGCTGCTCCCAATTTGAAGGGAAAAAAGTAAAAGAAAAGTGGCAGCAATGCTGCCCAGGGCTTCTTCAGGGCTACTGCGAAAATATAAAGCAAAAGAACAACAATGCACCAGTCTTAATGATTCAGCAAACCTCATTCTGCGTTTCTGGTGCTCATTGGAAGTAACATATACTTCTTCATAGTTAATACATAAAACACAGGCACTTCCAGAATGTCACAGCTTTGGGGTGGGATTCAATCACATTCTGGCAAATTCAGGGTTTGCACAATTAAAGTCAATTAAGTGCTTCTGCAACAAGCCTGCTGTCTTCTCCCCCACCCACCCCATCCCGCAAAATGGACTTCTCAAAAAAGTAATGGGAAAATGCACTGGAGAGTGTGGGGTAACATTTGTACAATGAAACAAACTACAGACAAACCGGAATGAATGATTGATAACCACTTTCCTTCCTTCCTCCTCCTCCTCCTCCCCAAGCTCTCCTCTCTCCACACACAACTACAGCTAACAGACCTTAACTTTCATGAGTTCATTTCATTGGGAATGGTGTGAAGTGCATGCTCAATTGCTACAGCTGGCAACTGGATAGCTCAATTGGTTAGAACGTGGTGCTGATAACACCAAGGTTGCAGGTCTGATCCCCATATGGGACAGCTGCATTGCAGGGGGTTGGACTAGATGATCCTCAGGGTCCCTTCCAGCGCTACGATTCTATGCTTCTAGTTCATATCATAGTGTAACAGAGTACAAAGTTGACTGCTCATGGATCAGTGTGCTTTAATCTTTCATTTCCTTGCTGTCCAGAATAATTCCATACCAACCTTGGACCTTAAGCCCTAGTTATGAATCAAGGAAATGGGGAGGAAGAGGAAGAATGAAGGGGGAAAGCAGCAGCAGTGTGCCCCAATACGTATTGGGGAAGGGACATGCAGGTGCAGAGAAATGGGAACTGTTGCCCTACCACCTCCAGTATATTTAACCACGAGACTGCTCACCTCATGACATCTCCAGACCCTTTCAGGAAAGCCTATTTGGTATCATTAAGCGGTGTCTTTTAGCAAAACAATTGGAACACATTCCTAATATCAAGGCTTAGATAGAAATATATTAAAATATAGCAAAGAAAACTCCTCTCATGTACATGCTACATTTGCTCCTCATTTGAGCTCATGTTAAACAGTTAAATGGCAGGCAAAATTGAACTATAGCACAGAGTAGCACAAATGAAGAGCTGTTCCTCTGTTGCACTGCTCTCCAGAGTCTCCTTTCTCTCACCTTTACAGAATAAGCAACACACTCACTTTACAGGAGTCTAATCTTGGCTGAGGAAAAACAACAACAGGGTGGGGATGACACTGGAAGCAAGATGTAAACTTGAAAACTCCCTGTACCAAATATCAATAATGTTTCCAACACTGGACTTTATACCCCTGTGTCTTTCCTTTCTACAAAATGAATATTAAATAAACCTCAAACAGGTAGTTATACTCAGCAGCTAAACTTATCTAATAACTTGAAAGTTTCTGTATAGCAACATCCCTGTCCCCGGAGCATATGACTGATGCAAATATTAGCACATTCCCCAAAGAAACAGCCTGTTGCTGATTAAGAGGAAGGAAGCCCCACAAGGGTCCAGCCATTAGTGAACAAATAAGATTTCATCACTTTCTCAGAATAAAGGACAAGCAACAGCAGGAATACAGGCAGAAGACATTGGAAATGAGAAGAATGGGCCATGCTTTTCTTCCAGCACAGTTTCCTTCTAGTTTTGGAGCTCAGCTGGAGAAAACCAACCGGTGGAGGGGTTGGCAGGTGGAATGTGGGAGCATAAACCATGAATGTGGGGAAAGTTTTACACACTTCATTTACTTACTCCTTATGTTGTTGAAGTCAGCATATATATACACACACAAGGTATATGCATGACTGTGGCAGATCCAAGTTTAAACAAAATACCGGTAGGTCCGTCATCACACCATTGTATCTAGTTTGGCCTGAGCAATCAATTACTAGTCCGAAACCCATATGGATGACTGACATCCACCCTCACACTTTTCTTCATTAACAGGCTTACTCTAGTTCCAAACTGTGAACAACACATTATTTTATAAATAATTGAATTCCAGATTTGAAGTAGTGCTTTTAAATATATATATACATACGGTATATATATTTTTAAAACCTCATCATGTGCCAGACAAACTGTAAGATTGCTTTTCAGGCTCATCAGACAAAGCTACTTTCATTGATAGGGAACATCAAAGAATGTTACCCTGACAAATATCCACTGACTGTCGCTTTGAGTAAATTGTCAGTAAGATGATTTGAGATATAGAACTAATATTAGAACTGCTTAGACAAATGGCCACATGTGTTCAATGAATTCATGGAGGGGGGGAGTGGGATTGCAACAACAATTGCCTTTCAGAAAATTGTCAAGGTGATTTATGTAAGTTTTGTGTGGGCATTTCTCCCCCCCCCGCCCGAGTTTCAGAGTAAGTACTGTCCTGTCTCATTGGTGCAAAGCAGATACAGGGAACAAAATGTGTTCGGAGAGCTAGTAAGGAGAGCTGCAGTCAGGGGTGCACAAGTAATTTTAGACTCTAGGCTTAATAGTGCTACTACCCCCACCCCCAAAAAAACTACTCCATTATTACAATTAAAGAACCAAGACCATGAACTAGTTTGAAGTCATGTTGCCATGATGGCAATAGATGCTACAGCGCTAGGGGGAAGAGGACTCTGCACAGCCTCAGTTAATTGATATAGCCACTGCTTGCCTATTCAGAGCCATATAGTAGGCTCCAGTGTGACATACAAAACGAGGGACCTGCTGCACCAGACCTGTGGCCCATCAAAGTCCAGCATCCTGTTCTCATGGTGGCCAACCAGATGCCTGTCAGAAGCAGATGCCTGTAGGAACCCTGTTCAGTTTTGCCCCTGGCCACCCTAGCTTCAGATCCGAAATCAATGCATTCGCAATAACAAGACAGACAATCATATGGAAAATGAAAAATTTCCATATCGCTATCTGCTTGAAACTAAAGGTAAAGGTAAAGGTAAAGGTAAAGGGACCCCTGACCGTTAGGTCCAGTCGTGGCCGACTCTTGGCGTTGCAGCGCTCATCCCACTTTACTAGCCGAGGGAGCCGGTGTACAGCTTCTGGGTCACATGGCCAGCATGACTAAGCTGCTTCTGCACACGTTTACCTTCCCACCGGAGCGGTACCTATTTATCTACTTGCACTTTGACGTGCTTTCGAACTGCTAGGTTGACAGGAGCAGGGACCAAGCAACGGCAGCTTACCCCATAGTGGGATTCGAACCGCTGACCTTTTGATCAGCAAGCCCTAGGCTTTGTGGTTTAGACCACAGCGCCACCCGCGTCCCTGGAAACTGGTACATGACTGTAAATTAACCTGAACTGTAGACCACTCATGTGTTTCTTATTAAGAAGAGAATGAATGAGAACGTGGCACTATTAAGAGGAGGGGGAAAATAATTTTTGACCCGGGGAAGTATTTACAGATTTGTTCTCAAATCACTGGAATAGTTTTACTAACATTACAAGAGCAATAACAAAGAAATTGGTGTTGCTCCTGTAGCATGTAAGCCATGGACAGCGACAATAAAACTGCAGCTAATTGGTAGTTACAAAGAAGGACAAAGGCACAAGGTGGCTGGCTTTTTATTACCGTATCATTCTTCGTGTGCTATTTGAGGAAGCCCTTGTAAACTGGAACCCCTGGGCCTGTTTTACCATCTGTCCCCTCCTCTACTGGGCAGGGATCCTGAACAGTCATTGTATAGGGAGAATTCAGCAATGCTCTGTTGCCCTAAACAAATATTGCAGAAAGCGGTGGGGGTGGGGAATGTACCAACAGGCCTGCTTTTTAGAGAGCACCTGTTATCACTGGAGAACCCTTATCGATAAAAGACAAATAGAACCATCTGCACCTAAGCCTAGACAGTAAATCAAACATCCCCTGCAATTAAATGGATCACATGGTGAGATAACCCTTGTAGACCTCCTTCATAAACAAACCTTAAAACAGGAGTCACCACAGAGAGGGTAAATAATATAAAACATCTCCAAGCCTTCCGTACACATATACACCTTTTCAAAATGCCTGTTGAAACACTTGTCTATATCCTGCCATGGTCTTTAATGACCTTGGTAAAAGCTGGGCTGGGGGGCTATGTATGTCACACGTTATCCTTAGCTCATTGGAAGAAGAGAATAAAAGTGTAATAAATTAATGGTATCTATGCCTTCACAATTTTCTATTTGGAGGAGAAAATATCCTCTGAAAATCCACACAATAAATAAGGATGGAATCCAAGATGCATTTGAAAGGGATTAGGAAATAAGTACCATTGAATTCAGTGAGAATTAGGGTACTTTATATAGGGACTGAATACTGGAAATGGTTCAGATGTTGCCAACAAGAAATTAGCAACAGGTTATTATTTTTAACTACCTTTACTATTATGAAATTTATATACCACTTAATGCCAAAGTAGATGTCTAAGCAGTTTAGAAGTCTGCAACACATATCAAATACAGTACACACATTCACACAAACAAACTTAACCTGCTGGATTTTCTGCAGAAATCTGGATTAAAGGGGAGAATATGGGCTGGCTTTTTAATGTTAATGATGTAATGTGGATGCTGTAAAAAGCTTGTATGCATAAGCAGTGCCAATCCCACAATAAACTCCTACCTGAAAGCATCATTACTTCTGAATAAGCATGCACAAGACTGAACTGTAAATCCCAGATTGGCTAAATGTGAGCAGGACAATCTTGAAATTGCTTGAAGAAGACATGTTTTAATGTTTCTCTTTCTGCTTCTTTCTCACCTGCTACCTTCTCACATACATACTGTTGTGTATTGAAGCGCTCACCCTGGCTACCAGGGGATATTGTGTATATACTTTTCACTCAGGTCCACATCAGTTAATTTAGGCAGGAAACCCTGGGCTGTTGTTGTTACAATGTTGACAACCGGCTGCCTATAAAAGCAGGCCGGCTGAGCTGTTCAGTTCAGTTCCAGCTTACTTATAAAGAACTACTTGGAGAAATCTCTGTGTCGTCTGCTTTGTCAACCCACTACTTAATACATACATACATACATGCATACATTCACTTGCTACAGCTTTGGGCAGCAGCATTCAAACATCTGACCGGCTTACAAATGTTATGGTTACTAGCAAATTAATGGGTGAACTGATTCCATTTAAATGTATTGCACTGGAAATTAGCTGAAGCACTATATGTGGTATTAGGTCTATGATAATTCTTTCACAAATGTCACCTTTTGATGATATAGCCATGCATGAATGTTTACAATATACTGTATAAAAAAAAATGCTTAACATAGTAACAAAGAATGACCCCCACAAAGAATAATCCAACAAAGAAACTGGTTTGACCACTTCAGCAGTTCCTTCTACAAAATAATGCAGTTTTACAGATAGCAAACCACAAGCTTGGATGGGATCCAAAAATGGCATCCAAACCAATGCACAAATCCTTGGATAAAACTTTTCTTATTTTATATTGGATTCTCAGGCCTATTTTTCTTCATGTAAATTTTGGAATGGTCCATGCAGCATATAAACACACTTGGCAGAGACCAGGTTACTGAGATGCAACAGAGAAATATAACCCATTCCTTGTTTATTGTTTGCATCACCGCTCCTAGTTAATGATAATACAACCATGCTGTTCAATATTTTTCTCCTATTAAACTGGTTGCCTCTAGCTTGCCATTAGGATTACTTATTAATAAGCATCTCAGATACCACAGAGAAGAACTTGAAAAACTTGCTAGAAGTGATGCAACCTTGGGAAGTATTGCAAGGCATGCCAGTTCAAATCCTCTGGGACTCAAAATTACTCCCACAGAGCTTGGTGGATATAGGAAACCTACCGTAACTCCTTACATCTCTGTCCTCAGACGAAAGCAAAGCAAGAAAGCAATCTCCTCTGTCTACCCAGCCCCTGAAAAGGTTAATACTCTTCATCTGCAGAACTGCATTCAAAAACATAAAATAATACCCATTACAGCATCACTTGTGTGCTAATTGGCAAGACACACACAGCGATTTGATTGAATGTGTAGAATAATACTGATGTATATCATTCCCAAATTACCATTAGAGATTTGCAGACTTCTGCACCCATAAAACATTCACAAAAGTGTCACTGATTCAAATCAGTGTGGTTTCTGAAAAAGCCTGATAACAGTTAACATAAAGTACACTATTCTACAGCACCTCTTTTCATAGCTGATAGGGTTTTAACAGGATGCAGTTAAACAGTGACAACAAGAGTGCCAGATTTTGCTGACCTTGTTTAGGTGGCTAGCTCCAACCTACATGAACCCTGATGCCAATCAGCTTCAAGTAGTCCTCAAAACTTATTTTTCTTTCCAGTCTGAATTCCTGGTGTTTTCATCAAGCTCCTGTGAAATATGTGAAATGATCACTGCATTCCGATAATAGTTTAGTAGAACAATCAGAATTTTGTCATTTAACTGGGAATTGGAATAAAGTGGGGGCAGAACTAGCGCTGAAGTTAAAGATGGTACAACTTAAGAGGAAACGGTTGAATTTGAATCCAAATACAAATACTGAGCCTTGTGGATACAATTCAGATGTTGGGTTTTGAATACCAAATTAACCTCACAAAACCTGAAGCTGAACATTTATGTTAAATTCATATTAAAATGTTAAGCTTCACTTGGTTTCTGGGCCTGTTTGTAAAACATTGCCTTGTTCTGTTTATATTCACAATTTGCAAAACTACATTAAAAAAAGCAAGTTTGTTAAATCAGTTTCTACTAGAAAGAAAGAGAAATTATAATGTTGCTAGGCAGTCCTGCCAAGACAAACTTTGTTCCCAATCTCAAAGAAGACAATGAAGCATTTCATTTAAATACACACGCAGTACCTTGAATCTGACACATATTGAAAACATTAAACACACATTGCACCACAATTTGACTTTTTTTAAAATAGAGTTCAACTTACAAAATATACATTTTTCTGTGTCCAATTTTGTCATTGTAGCATATTCATAAATTTGTTCCCATTATTTCATGGTTGGTGTATCTGCCGATCTCCTATACTGAAATTAGTTTTGATAATGAACTGTCACTAACATGACCATGTATGACATCATCTCATTCAGCCTTCACAAAGTTGGTGCCCTCCAGATGTTTTCAACTACATCTTCCATCAGCCCTCGACAACAAAGGCTGTTTTGGATCCCCCTCCCCATAAGTGTATTTAAGAACAACAAATCGCTCAAAACCAACAAATGGTCCAACTTTAGATCCAAACCAGGGGTTCATATTGCCTTCCATAGCATGTACTGTCCTCCTGGTAGACTGGTAGACTAGCTGTGGCCCCTCCTAGACAGAGATAGCCTGGTCGTAGCAGGCATGTAGCAGTAAAAACACTATTGGTGGCTGGGAGGTGAATACCTACATTCACCTCCCAGTGCTTTCTGCTACATATGGAGAAGAGCAGCCTGTTGCAGAAACCAGGAGGCTTGGGCAGCTAGTTCCACCCATAAAGAACAAGAGTAAGAAATTTGCCACAGCTGTAGTTGCTTTCCCAGGGTAGGGCCTTTTTATTGGGAGGCTGCCATGGGCACTAGGTAACCCCTAGTGCGCCAGCCTCACCTGGTCAGCCCAGAAAAGAAAGAGGGTCTTTCTCTTTTAGCCACCTGCTGGACCTTACTAGGTGGGATTGCCCTTTAGATCACCCCTTTGAGGTGTGATGAGGGCAAAGGCAATTCCCTGGGTGACTGCTGAGAGTCTTGAGAGGTGCAGAGGGAACAGGGACGTAAATTAACCTAGCTTTTAAGTGAGGAATGTGATAAGAGCATGAATGCAGCTCACCAGTGTATATCCAGTGTATTCATAGCAAGTATTTAGCAATTTTGCTATTTTATATTGTTTTGATTGATTGGTTGTATTGATTGTACTTTTATTGTATAAGTTTCCTTTGCATTAATATTCTGGGAGCCTTTGTTCCAGAGAGTGGTGTATAAATAAACCGTAACATAAAATGAAATGATCCGTGATCTGATAACATCCCGTTTGGAGTTCTGTAATGCACTTTATATGGGGCAACCTTTGTAGGTGGCTGGAGATGAGGCCTTCTGATATGTGGAGTCGTGATTCTAGACCTTTTCATTTCCCCAGGCATTTAAAGAATTTTTGGACCGATTGAGAGTATAGTTCTCATTTTATGACAGCCTCAATTTTTGCTTATTTCAATATTTTATGGAATGAGACCTTATTGTATTTAAACTTGAATGCTACTCTGAGCTACTCTGTAGCTGAATTATTAAATTTCTGCAATCAGTCAGTATAATGAAAAGACAGTGTGTCCCAAAGTATGGAGATTCCTCCTAAAATGTAAGGATTTGTTTGTCTAAAGTAGCAAGTCTGTTTCTGGGCTCAGCTGAAAGTGCTGCTGTTATTATGATTGATTACTTGATGTTAATGTGAAAATTAATAAGATATACTCCAGAACCAGCACTAAAGCGAATTTCACAACTATGCAGGGCTCCAGAGAGCCCGGCTTAAGAATCCCCATTTACTGTTCTGTCTCATATACAATGCAGCTATTCTTTCCTGCTCCCTGCAGAGAGTCTTTGATCTACCCTATGACATTTCATGCACAGCCCACAAAGTTCCCTTCAGTTAAGGAATATTGCTCCCTCTTGTCCCCCGCCCCACGGCTGCACACCCTATTATGGCAACAGAGGACACACTGAACATGCTCAGTGACCCCTGATACCATCCCCGTGAGCCTAATTAATTACCATTTATGTGGGCCAGCTAGAGCACCTAGAAAATTAAATGGCCTTTGAAATTAAAACATGCACTGCTGATGAGCAATTAACACAGTGTGGAAAATAAAAGTAGTACAAGAGCACACCTAAACTAAAATTGCAGGACATTGAATCTGCTTAATCAGATTCAATAAATGTACAAGAGAAAACAAGGAGTAGATCCTCTTTCTGAGGAATTCTAAGACTAGTAGTGTCAACAATCTTAAAGCAGCCCAAATGGTCTGTGACATCGTACAGCTGACAACATGCAAACCAGTTTTGGTGCCCTTCACAGCCTCCCTGTCTTGTTTATTCAGTGGGGGCTGCAATACTACGTAATCCCATTAAGTTTCAGCTGCTACACTATTCACAGTGATTTACTGTCACACAGCAGTGGGGTTGTTTTAAAACAAGTTAAACCCAAATTTAAACTTGGGACTTGGCACTGGACCCAGTTTGTGTCACACAGCCCAAAAGGGTGGGGTGGGGGAGCCAAGTTGCTTATAAAAGATGGATTCATTTCATTTGTCCTCTGAGCCAAACAGTCTCAATTCCTTAGGCCTTGTGGTAATAGAACAGCATGGAATATGTTTTGCTCCAGCTAACCAGCCCTGAAACAAAAATCAGGAGCAATTTTGCATGTATCTTGCCAACATCTGAAAGCCAAAAACAGGGTAGATTTATAGACTTATCCTACCATCTGCTGTGCAAGGAAAAAGCAGAGGTCGTTTTCACAAGGAAGGATAGAACCCATTTTAGTCTGAGATGTGTCACTCCTGCTTTCATTAGCAAAATTAAGAAGAGAGCCACTTTTAAAATCAGATGTACATTGTAATCAATTCCTCCCCAACCCACGTCTGAATTACAAAAGCAGGAAGTGCAAAAAACAGTTTCACATGATAATCCTTTATACACCTACTTGGGAGGGAGCCTGAGCCCAAGTGAACTCAGTGAAGCTTACTTCTGAGTAGAAAGGAACAGAGTAACATCTCTTTAAGGAATATTGCAACTATAAAAATAAATGAACAAAAATCAGATCACATTGCAGATTAGTAGCCAAAGGGGAATAAACTTTATATCTTACTGGTCTGAAGGGAAATGAAAAGAGGAAAGAAGTAGAATATTTCTGAGAAGGGAGAAAATTATAATCATGTGGTGTGCAACAGGGTGGTGGAAGATCTAAATAATTAAAATCCAAAATTAGCTGTTATGTACTGAGTTGAATAGGATCCAAACTGCAGCAGTCTGATTGGTCCTGGAACAATAGGATTCAGAATGCAGCAGTATGATTGGTCCTAGAACAATGCAGCAGTATGATTGGTTGGCAGGAACCACCCAATCATGCTCCAGATAGAAGTGAATCCACAACCTGATTGGCTTACAGTAGAATTCCAGAATTAGCCAATCATGTGCAGCCCATTGTGTAAATAATGTATATAAAGCAGATACTTTGAGGGGACATTCATTCATTCCTCCTCACCACTATGAGCTGAATAAAGAGCATGAAATCACTTTGCGACTCTGAGTATATTTCACTGGCGACGAGGATGGGATCCCGCTGAGCTGACTGCCACACACAGCACCGCAGCACTGCCACCTGCCGCACCGCTGCCTCGCACCGTGTATCCAGGCTTCAGCTCCGGGACACAAGGAACTCAGAATGGCAACCGACAGCAGCTTCTCGCCGTTCAACCCAGCATCTGGAGACTGGGAAGCGTATGCCTCCCGTTTCACCTTCCTTCTAGAAGCCAAAGGGGTCACCGACGAAGAAGACTCCAAGAAGAGGGCGATACTCTTCAGCGTCTGCGGAGAGGAGACGTTTGAAATCGCCCGGGCTCTCCTTGCGCCTGAAGACGTCACTACTGTTCCATACAAAACAATAATGGAACAGCTGAAGGGGCACTTTTCGCCACAGCCCTCAGTGGTGGCTCATCGAAATGCCTTCTACACAAAGCGGAAAGCCCCTGGGGAAACCATAACTGGGTTTGTGATATCTCTCCGCCAAGCCGCCCGGTTCTGCAACTTCTCAGAGCTGGAGAACATGCTTCGTGACCGCCTCGTCGGTGGCCTGAAGGATGAGAAGCTGCAACGACGCCTCTACACTAAGAAGGACCTAACGTTCCAGGTCGCTCTGGAGGAGGCCCTGGCAACGGAAGCTGCCGAGAGGTCGACGCAAGAGGCACAGCCGAGCCTGCCGTCCCAACCGAGGGTCCACCACGAAGACCTCACTGACGACTCAGGATCCGACAGGGAGGAGGTGCACCGAGTACAGCAGCGCACTCTAGCAGCCCACATACCACAGCTGCCTCGACGAGAAGAAGGGAACTGCGCAAGCTGTGGGGAGAGTCACGAGAGGAGGACCTGCCGTTTCCGCAACGCAGAGTGCAGGCAGTGCAGAAAATCGGGACACATCGCCCGGGTGTGTCGGGCTCGGCCCACCCGACGCCAGGCATCAGATGACCAATTTAAGAGCCCCAGGTCCTGGGGCCCAACACACCAAGGCAACTCGACGGAGCTCACGGACTTCCAGGTATACCAGTTGCCCCACCCCAACATAGAGAAAATTTATGTAGAGGTACAGATAGAGGGGGCCCCATGCCGCATGGAGCTTGACACGGGTTCAACTCTATCCATAATCTCAGCAAGGACCTTAAGGAAACTGTGTCCTACTGGGGGTCCCAAACTCAGGCCGGCCCCATTCACCCTCCGGGACTTCCAGAAACGTAAGGTCCCCACAATGGGGGTGGGGACCTTCAGGGTGCAATACCAAGGGCGGACGCGGCAACTGGACTTGCTTGTGGTCAAGGGCCCCTACATTAGCTTACTGGGATTGGCATGGTTTGGACCACTGGGGCTAGCCGTCACCGGGGTGAACCACACTAGCTTAC